TCCCTATCTGTTGCTTTTCATAAGAAGAGCAGGGGAGTATTGAGAATGGATGACTAGAATATAATACAATTTGATAAGAATTTGCCACCATTGGGGCTTCCCTGGTGGCGCAGTGGTTAAGAATCTGCCTACCAATGCAGGGGACACGGGTTCAAGCCCTGGTCCAGGAAGATCCCACATGCCGTGGGGCAGCTAAGCCTGTGAGCCACAACTAGTGAGCCCGAGTGCCACAACTACTGAAGCCCGTGCGCCTAGAGCCCACGCTCTGCGGCAAGAGAAGCCACTTCAATGCAAAGCCCACACACCGCAACGAAGAGTAGACCCTGCTCTCTGCATCTAGAGAAAGCCCGCACACAGCAATGAAGACCCAACCAAGCCATAAATAAATGAATGAATGAATGAATGAGTGAATAAATAAATAATTTATATATAAAAAAAGGGCCTATCCGTTTGAACATCTCTTTAAAAAAAAAAAAAAGAATTTGTCAGCAATAACAGAAGAATCCGTCTCTTAAAAACTCTTAAAACCATTTCTAAGATGAGTTTCCATTGATTCATTTAAAAACTATATTTCTTTGTGTATACATACACACATTTAGAAATTTGAGCAACCATATTAATGTCTAGCTACTTATCTGCATACCTGGGATTCTGGATTAAGATTGCTGTTGCTTCCTATAATTGGATAGAAGCACATGTAGCTTTTCTTTCTTGCTCTAGGATTTTTGTGCTTTATTGATATAAAATTATATCTTTATGTGTTTTATACGAAGGAAACTATTTATATTAGGATGAGAGACTTAGAATAGGGGTAAAAAGGAATACAATGACTAAAGATTATCACAGAAGTACTTTTTTTTTTAGTTTAAAATATTTATTTATTTATTTATTTGGCTTCACCGGGTCTTAGTTGTGGCACACAGGATCTTCGTTGTGGTGTGTGGGATCTTCATTGCGGCACTTGGGATCTTTAGCTGTGGCACGCGGGCTCTTAGTTGCGGCACACGGGATCTAGTTCCCTGACCAGGGATCAAACCCAGGCCCCCGCATTGGGAGCACAGAGTCTTAACCACTGGACCACCAGGGAAGTCCCCAGTACTTTTTTGTTTTTATAGGTTACTGAATCAGTAATTTATTGTTAGATTAGTTAGTTGGATTAGTTATAGCTAAAAATTCTTTTTCTCCTTTGGAGTTACAGTAGGGAATGTAGAGAAGGTTTGTAGGAGTTTTGGGTAATCAAACACAGTAGTTACAACAGTGATGTTGCCAGGATTTAATGTAGCTGGTACAATTTAGGGCTGTTTATTTGTGGACCTTTAGGATCACCGCTGTTATTTTATGCAGTAATATAGTATAGTAGACTTATTGAAAGTCATGCCTTAAACACTGATGTGCCTTTTTCTTCTTTTCTATTCATAGTGGTAGTCGCTCCTCTAAAACGTTTAAACCAAAGAAGAACATACCAGAGGGTTCTCACCAGTATGAGCTCTTAAAGCATGCAGAGGCCACACTGGGCAGTGGAAACCTCCGGATGGCTGTCATGCTTCCTGAGGGGGAAGATCTAAATGAGTGGGTTGCAGTGAACAGTAAGTAGCCTTTCTGTTTCTCAGTAGACTGTAAATTAGGTTAGTAGCCTCACTGTAGGTGAGTGTTGGGGTGCTCTCTATTCTAGGATTTAGTTAGCAACCTAATACCACAAGATAGTGGTACCTCAATTTACTTTAACCTTTATGGTATTTTATTTCTGAATATGGAGTTACATGAAATTCTTATCTCCTGTTATCATGTAATACAAAGCATAGATTTACCATCTTCATTGGAAAAAATGATAATGGTAGCAGCAATTAATGTTTATGGAACACTGTGGCACTCTGCTATTCTTTCCACATGAATTATTTTTATTTATTTATTTTATTGAAGTTTATTTGATTTATGGTATTAGTTTCAGATGCATAACATAGTGATTCAATATTTTTAGATTATACTCCATTTAAAGTTATTACAAGGGGGCTTGAGAGTCCTCTTGAGAGTCCGCCTGCTGATGCAGGGGACACGGGTTTGTGCCCCGGTCTGGAAAGATCCCACATGCCGCGGAGCGGCTGGGCCCGTGAGCCATGGCCGCTGAGCCTGCGCGTCCGGAGCCTGTGCTCCACAACGGGAGAGGCCACAACAGTGAGAGGCCTGCATACTGCAAAAAAAATAACAAAATAAAGTTATTACAATATAATGGCTATATTTCCCTGTGCTGTACCTTTGTGGCTTATTTATTTGATACTTGCTGATTTGTACCTCTTAATCCCCTACCTCTGTCTTGCTCCTCCTCCATTCTCTCTCCCCACTGGTAACCACTTGTTTGTTCTCTATGAGTCTATTTCTGTTTTGTTATATTCATTCATTTTATTTTTTAGATCCCACATGTAAATGATATCATACAGTATTTGTCTTTCTGTGTTTGACTTAAGCATAATACTTTCCAGGTCCATCCATGTAGTTGCAAACGGTAAAATTTCATTCTTTTTTATGGCTGAGTAATATTCCTGTGTGTGTGTGTGTGTGTGTGTGTGTGTGTGTGTGTGTGTGTGTGATAAAGAAGATGTGGTGTTTATATATATGTATATATACATACACACACACACCATTATCCATTTATCTGTTTATGGACGCTTAGGTTGCTTCCATATCTTGCCTGTTAGCCTCCATATGCTGCTATGAACATTGGGGTACATGTATCTTTTCAAATTATTGATTTTATTTTCTTCTACATGGATTATTTTATTTCATCTTTACAACCTCATGATGTAGGTACTGTTATTATCCCAGTATATAGATAAGAAAGCTGAGACAGAAAGACTGTAGTAATGTGCTTAGGTTATACAGCTATTGAATGCTAGAGCCTGGGCTCAAATATAGAGCTCTAAAATTTCAGAGACTGCGCTTTAACCCCTATGCTAAATTGCCTCTTCCAGTAGCATACTTAGTTATTTGTCTAAACTATGCTTTAAAAAGACAATTCAATAGTGATCTTATGAAATTAGTAAAATATGTTTATGATATATTCTTAACCTCTAGAAAGAAAAAAATATAAGTAAAAAGTAAATATATTCTTGGGAATTAAGCCAGAGTAGGTTGGGGAATAAAAGTGGTACTTTAAAAAAAAATTTTTTTTAAATTTTATTTTGATTCTTTTCTCTCTCTTTTAAAAATTAATTAATTAATTTTTGGCTGCGTTGGGTGTTCGTTGTTGTGCGCGGGCTTTCTCTAGTTGCAGAGAGAGGGGGCTACTCTTCATTGTGGTGCATGGGCTTCTCATTGCAGTGGCTTCTCTTGCTGAGGAGCACAGGCTCTAGGCCTCACAGGCTTCAGTAGTTGTGGCTCACGGGCTCTAGAGCACAGGCTCAGCAGTTGTGGTGCATGGGCTTAGTTGCTCCATGGCATGTTGGATCTTCCTGGACCAGGGCTTGAACCTGTGTCCCCTGCATTGGCAGGCGGATTCTTAACCACTGTGCCACCAGGAAAGCCCAAAAGTGGTACTTTTAGTATTCAAGTTTTATCAGCATTGGTGAAGAAATTAATAGAATTTTATAACTGGAGGAAATTTATATGACTCTAGTTATAATAAATGAAATTTAGTTGAAAATATACACTAAATGCCTAGGCGTTGACTAAGGAAAAACAGAGCAGTATTTTTATTGTAATATTTAATAGTATCTTATTGTAATTTGAAACATACCATGGGACTTATAAATTGAGCTGCCACCCACTAACTTTTAGGAACCTAAACTATTTTACTGAGATGTCTTAAAACCTTACTGTGACAGCAGTTCTGTAAGAGCAGTATTATTAGAGTATGGTTATCCTCCTGGACCCAGAGAGTTTAGTTACTAAAGAGATAAAGTGATTTGTTTGCTTTATTGATGAGAGTCATCTAACCTATAAGATAGTTCTATGACACTTTAAGGACAATATTCAGAATAAGTTTCCAATATATGTGTACATCCTTCTTTTGGGCACTTGTTTGTGCCTTTTTGTACCATTTATTTGAGAGCTCATTTTCTAATTTTAGAAATCTAAGGAAGGCAGTGTAGAGCTTCTGTACTACATGAGATTGTGACTTTTAAGTATAAAAGCAGATCATTGTTTTCTGTCTGTATTTTCTCTGTCTCAATTATCAGAACTGAGTGTCTGTACTATTGAAATGTCTAGAACTTCAGGAACTTATAAAATTTCACAGACATTTTGAAGTTATAGCCAGAAAAAAATTGCTTTGAACTGAAGTGATTGAACGTCCCCGTAGAACATAGAATTCTGCCTTTAAAATATAGCAGTTGACTGAAGTATTGGATTACAATTTTTTTCTTATTCATAGTAATCTTTCCAAGTGACACTTGATGAAGTGAATAGGATTTGAGGCTAGATAGATAATTTCCATTCACTGGCAGTGATTAAGTAAACATTTCGGGTACATAAAAGAGTGAAGGGGATTTGTTGATAAGATTGGCATCTTAATGGCCTTTTTCCTTTAGTTTACTTGCCAGATGAAGATAAATGGTAGAAGATGGGAAATTTTACAAATTCAACAACTAGTCTCATAGCCAGAAACCAGAGGCTGGTTTTGAACATTGTGCTGCTAGAGAGGGATAGCTTAAAGGAGATACAAGTTTCAGAGTTTTGGAAAAAGTGGGTGGATGGCTTATAGTTAATTTCTGTGGCACAGAATCTTGAGGCCATATCTTCATTTGTGGAAGAAAACTAACAATTACTAAATGTCTACTTTATGGTAGACACGATTTTGGTTTTTAGCACTCTGCAGTAAACTGAACTTTAAAGGTAGGAAACTGAGATTCAGGGAAGTTAAGTAACTCAACTATTAAGTATAGAGTTGGGATTCAAAGCCATAGGTTACCCACTGTTCATGTGGAGGACAACCCGATTAAAAATGGGCAGAAGACCTAAATAGACATTTTCCCAAAGAAGACATACAGATGGCCAACAGGCACATGAAAAGATGCTCAGCATCACTATTCATCAGAGAAATACAAATCAGAACCACAATGAGATATCACCTCATACCTGTCAGAATGGCTCTCATCAAAAAGATCACAAATAACAAATGTTGGTAAGGATGTGGAGAAAAGGGAACCCTACAGTGCACTCTTGGTGGGGATGTAAATTGGTGCAGCCACTATGGAAAACAATATGGAGGTTACCCTAAAATTAAAACTAGAAATACCATATGATCCAGCAATTCTACTGCTGGATGTATATTTTAAGAAAATGAAAACATTAATTTGAAAAGGTACATGTACCCCAGTGTTCATAGCAGCATATGGAAGCTAATAGCCAAGATATGGAAGCAACCTAAGTGTACATCAACAGATGAATGGATAAAGAAGTTGTGGTGTATACATACACACACACACACACACACACACACACACACACACACACACACAATGGAATATTACTGAGCCATAAAAAAGAATGAAATTTGCCATTTGCAACAACATGGATGAACCTGGAGGGTATTATGCTTAGGGAAATAAATCAGAGAAAGACAGATATTTTATGTTATCACTTATATGTGGAATCTAATAAAAAAAAAGAAGAATGAATATAACAAAACAGAAACAGACTCACAGATAACAGAATAAACTAGTAGTTACCAGTAGGGAGAGGGTAGGTGGGAGGGGTAAGATAGGAGTAAGGCATTAAGAGGTACAAACCTCTATGTATAAAAGAAATCAGTTACAAAGGTATATTGTACAGGACAGGGACTATAGCCAATATTTTATAATAACTAAATGGAGTGTAATCTATAAAAATACTGAATCACTATGTTGTACACCCGAAACCGATAAAATATTATAAATCAATTATACTTCAATTTTAAAAAGAAAAGAAAAGAAAGAACACCAGTCTTTCTAAAGCTTTTATGTGGAAAGGAGAAAATACTAGTGTTATGAGTTCTATGTGAACATATAAGAAAGGAAACCAGGTCATCTAACTTGTGAACTTAGATGTAAAAATCCTAATAAAAATATTAGCAGATTGAATCTAGCAATACTTAAAAATTATAACACATCATGACCAAATTGTTCTTATTCCTAGAATACAAGGTTGGCTTAACACTTGCAAATCAGTTGTAATTCACCGCATTAGCCAAACTAAAGGAAGAGGAAGAAATCATATGATCATCTCAGTATAAGCAGAAAAAACATTTGGTCAAATTTAAAATCAATTTGTAATAAACTTATGAAGTAAAAGTTGAGAACTTTTTTCTGATAAAGCATATCTACAAAAAAGATACAGCAAACATCATATTTGATCATGAAATGTTGAAGTTTTTTCTCAGATTAGGAATAAGTTAAGGTTAGCCACCATCACCACTTTCCTGGAGTCTTAGCCAATTCCGTAAGGCAGGAAAAAGAATAAAAGATAATAATAATGGGAAAGGAAGAAACAACATTTATGTTCATAGCCAACATGAACGAATGTTGAAAAACCAAGATTTTATTACGACACCATCACTATTTTTATGAATAGGTAAATTTAATAAACTTGTTGGCTTTGAGGTCAATATAAAAAAATTATAAGTAGAATAAAAATTATAAAAAACAAGGAATAACAGTTTTCCAGTGAAACATATAGAAAACTATTCCTTTATGACTGGTGCTTTCTGTGCTCTTCTTAAGAAATATTTGCATGCCAAAGTTCATGGACATATTTTTCTATGCTCTTTTAAACTTTATTGTCTTGCCTTTCACATTTAGATGTATGATCCACTTGGAATTGCTTTTCAGGTATTGTGTGGGTGAAGAGTCAAGTTTTATTATTTTCCATAGAGATAACCAATAGACTCAGAAACCATCTCACATTTTATTATGGTGTTGTCTTTTCCTAAGTGATCTATAGAAGTTCTTTATATATTCTGAATATAAGATTTTTATTGATTTTATGTGTTGCAAATAATTTCTCCCACTCTTGCTTGCCTTTTTATTATCTTAAGGGAGTCACTTAATAAACAGAAGCTCCTAAATTCAGTGAGGCAAATATTGTTTGTTTGTATTCTTTTCACCTGTTCTTTGTTGAGGAAAGAACACTGGTAGAGCTGAGATTCTGCTGGAATAAAAGATTGTTTGAGTAAATCTAAAATTTAACCTTTTACTTATAACTGATGTTTGCTTTGCAGCTGTAGATTTCTTCAATCAGATCAACATGCTTTATGGAACAATCACAGATTTTTGTACAGAAGAAAGTTGTCCAGTGATGTCAGCTGGCCCAAAGTAAGACATGATTCATGATCAGTTCTCATTTTTACTTTATCATACAGTTCTTAGATAAGAAGAAAATTTTTGACCTTATAATTTCTGTATTTAGCATCTCCTTCAGTGATTTACCAATGACTAATATTTTGAGTTCAGATTCCTTAGCCTGAGCTTTATAGTCCTCCCTATTGTATTGTCCTCCATCCTGCCTTTCTTCTGTTTGCTTATGCCTCTCTATCCAAATATTTTTTTAAAATCGAAATATAGTTGATATACAATATTATGTTAGTTTCAGGTGTATTGCATAGTGATTTGACATTTCCATACATTATGAAATGATCATCATGATAAGTCTACTAACCATCTGTTCCCATACAAAGTTATTACAGTGTTATTGACCATACTCCTTATGTTGAATATTATATTCCCATGACTTACTTATTTTATAATTGGAGGTTTGTATCTTTAAATATCTTTCACCTATTTTGCTCTATTCCCACCCCGCTCCCCTCTGCCAACCACCCTTCTGTGTGCTGTATCTGTGTTTGTTTTCTAGATTTCACATGTAAATGAGATCATATGGTGTTTGTTTTATTCTGCCTGACTTATTTTACTTAGTGTAATACCCTCTAGATCCATCCGTGTTGTCGCAAAGGGCAAGATTTCTTTCCCTTTTTTAATTTATTTTATTTATTTAAGTAATATTCCGTTGTGTGTGTGTGTGTGTGTGTGTATACACACACACACACACACACACACCCCACATCTTCTTCATTCATCTGTTGATGGACACTTAAATTACTTTCATATTTTAGGTACTGAAAATAATGCTGCAGTGAAAAACGGGTTGCATATGTCTTTTCAAATTAATGTTTTTGTTTTCTTTGGGTAAATACCCAGAAAAGAAATTGCTGGATCTTATGGCAGTTCTATTTTAAATATTTTGAAGAACCTCTATACTTTTCTCCATACTGGGTGCACCAATTTGCAATTCCACCAACAGTGCATAAGGGTTCCCTTTTTGTCACATCCTTGCCAATACTTGTTATTTGTTGTCTTTTTGATAATAGCCATTCTAACAGGTGTGAGAAGTATCTCATTGTGGTTTTAATTTGCATTTCCCTCATGATTGGTGAGGTTGAGCATCTTTTCATGTGTCTCTTGGCCATGTGTATGTCTTTGGGAAAAATGTCTATTCAGGTCCTCTTCCCGTTTTTTTATTGGGTTGTTTATTTATTTATTTATTTATGATGTAGAATTGTATGAGTTCTTTGTATATTTTGTATATTAACCCCTTATTGGATATATCACTTGCAAATATCTTCTCCCATTCAGTAGGCTACCTTTTCATTTTGTTGATAGTTTCCATACTGTGCAAAACCTTTTTAGTTTAATGTGGTACCATTTATTTATTTTTGCTTTTATTTCCCTTGCCTGAGAAGACAGATCCAAAAAATATTGCTAAGACTGATTTCAAAGAGTTTCTCCTAGAAATTTTATGGTTTTAGGTCTTACATGTAAATTTTTAATTTATTTTTATTTTATTTTATTTATTTATTTTAAAAAATATTTGTTATTTGGCTGCTCCAGGTCTTAGTTGTGGCATGCGGGATCTTTGTTGCAGCATGCAGGATCTTTAGTTGTGGCATGTGGAATCTTTTACTTGTGGCATGTGGGCTCTTCACTGTGGCATGTGGGATCTAGTTCCCTGACCAGGGCTTGAACCTGGGCCCCCTGCATTGGGAGTGTGGAGTCTTAACCACTGGACCACCAGGGAAGTCCCTCATTTTTATTTTATTTTATGTTTGTACATGGTGTGAGAAAGTAGTCCAGTTTTATTCTTTTGCATGTAGCTCTCCAGTTTTCCCAACATCATTTATTGAAGGGGCTGTCTCTTTTCCCCTGTTGTATATTTTTGCCTCCTTTGCAGATTAATTGAGTGTTTAAGTTTGTTTCTGGGCTCTCTATATTCTATCCCATTAATCTGTGTTTCTTCTTTTGTGCTTGTACCATACTGTTTTGATTACTGTAGCTTTGTAGTATATCTGTAGTATACTATATGTATGTATGTTTGAAATAGGCAGTGTGATACCTTCAGCTTTGTTCTTCTTTCTCAAGATTGCTTTGGCTATTTGGAGTCTTTTATGTTTCTGTACAAATTTCAGAATTAACTTGTTCTAGTTCTGTGAGAAATGCCACTTTATTTTGATAAAGATTGCCTTGAATCTGTAGATGGCCATGGGTAGTATTGTCATTTTAAAAATAATAATTCTTCCAGTCTGTGACCATGTTATATCTTTCCATATGTTTGTGTGTTTTTCCATTTCTCTCATAAATATCTTAAAGTTTTCAGAGTACAAGTCTTGTACTTTTTTGGTTAGATTTATTCCTAGGTATTTTATTCTTTTTGATGCAGTTGTAAATGGGATTGTTTAAATTTATCTTTCTGATAGTTCACTATTAGTGTGTTGAAATGCAACAGGTTTCTGTGTATTAATTTTGTATCCTGCAACTTTATTGAATTCATTGATGATCTCTAGTAGTTTTCTGGTAGCATCCTTAGGATTTTCTATGTATAGTATCATGTTATCTGCAATGACAGTGACAGTTTTACTTCTTCCTTTCCAATCTGGATTCATTTTATTTCCTTTTTTTGTCTGTTTTGACTAGGACTTCCAATACTATGTTGAATAAAAATGGTGAGAGTGGGCATCTTTGTCTTGTTCCTGATCTTAGAGGAAATGCTTTCAGCTTTTCACCATTGAGTATAATGTTGGCTGTGGGTTTGTCATATATGGCCTTATTATGTTGAGTATGTTCCCTCTAAGCCCACTGTTTTGAGAGTTTTTGTTAATCATAAATGGATGTTGAATTTTGTCAAAGGCTTTTTTCTGTATCTGTTGAGATGATAATATGATTTTTATTTTTCAGTTTGTTAATGTGGTGTATCATGTTGATTGACTTGTAGATATTGACCATCCTTGCATCCCTGGGATAAGTCCTGCTTGATCATGGTTTATGATCCTTTTAAAGTATTGTTGGATTTGGTTTGCTAATATTCTGTTGAGGATTTTTGCACCTATGTTCATTGGTGATATTGGCCTGAAATTTTCTTTTTATGTGGTGATTTGTTTGATTTTGGTCAAAGTCATGCTGGCCTCATAGAATGAGGCCTCTTCAATTTTTTTGGAATAGTTTGAGAAACATAGGTAATATAACTCTTTAAATGTTTGGTAGAAGGTAATATAACTCTTTAAATGTTTGGTAGAATTCACCTGTGAAGCTGTTTGGTCCTTGACTTTTGTTTGTTATGAGTTTTTGGGTTTTTTAAAAGTTACTGATTCAGTTTCATTATTGGTAATCCATCTGTTCATATTTTCAATTTTTTCCTGATTCAGTTTTGGGAGATTGCATGTTTCTAGGAATTTATCCATTTCCTCTAGATTGTCCATTTGACTGGCTATAATTGTTTGTAGTAATCTCTTATGATCATTTGTACTTCTGTGGTATTGTTTGTAACTTCTCTTCTTTCATTTCTGATTATATTTGTTTGGTTTTATCAATTTTGTTTATTTTTTCCGAGAGCCAGCTCTTAGTTTCATTGGTCTTTTCTATTTATTTTATTATTATTATTAGTTTCTGTTTCATTTAATTATGCTCTATTCCTCATGATTTCTTCCCTTCTAACTTTGGGTTTTGTTTGTTCCATTTTTTAGTTACTTTAGGTATAAGCTTAGATTGTTTATTTGAGATTTTTCTTATTTCCTGAGGTCGGCTTGTATTACTATAAAATTCCCTCTTAGAACTGCTTTTGCTGCATCCCATATATTTTGGATCGTTATGTTTTTGTCTTCATTTGTCTCCAGGTATTTTTTGATTTCCTCTTTGATTTCTTCAGGGACCCATTGGTTATTGGGTAGCATGTTGTTTAGACCCCACCTGTTAGTATTTTTTGCACTTTTTTTCTTGAAGTGGTTTCTCAGTTACTATTTATTATCATTATTAACCAAGAAATGAACATTTTGGAATTTGTAGTTTATAAGTTCATACCATGATGACAGAAATAAATTTCAAAGACAATGGTCTGTCAAAGGTGGAATAAAAAAAGCAGTGGGTGCAAAATAGAGTTAGAATATGAAGTCATCATTAAGTATAAACGTGACAAAAGAAAAGGAAAGAATCAGGGAATCATAGTTATAAACTCTAGAAGTATAAGCAATATGCAGTTGTTTTATTTTCAAAAAACCTTAGGACATTGAATATTAGTATTGTTTATAAAGCTTCAGGATATTGAAAATGATTTTTTGGTTTACTGTGCCTGCTTTTGACTTCTGCATTTAAAAATGAATAGGGAACACCTGAGAATCATTAGCAAAATGAAAAACATGATTGTGAGAGAAATGCAAAAACGTTGAGGCTTCATAACATAAGGGAAAAAACATGGATGAGTTCCTGTCTTTAAATGAAGGCTAAGTGATGATGGCCAGAAGTCCTACCATTCATGTCCTCTGTCTCCTAAGAGGCTCAAACACGAAGAGGCTTAAGTCACACTTGAGACTTTTGTTTTATGTTAGGAAGAATCTCTTGACTGTGAAAGTGATTAAATAGTGGAACAGGATGCCAAGAAATGTTGGGGAATCTCCTCTTGGAGACCTTCAAAGTAGACTTGACATTCATCCCTGTTTCCCAGGGTTGGTATGCTGTCAGAATATTTATTCAGGTGTATCCTGTTTAAGGTTTACTGTTCAAGTGTAAGTAACTATGATTAAATAGAAAGCATCCTTGTTATCCTATCTCAAGATACTTTTCATTGTTTAAAATACCCTGTAGTATTTTTCCATTATATTTTCTTCCAGCTCCTTTGCTAGGCTTAATCACCTATCATTACGTTAGTCCAAACTCTGGGACAAGATTATAAAAACACAGTTGATTCAAAGAGAGAAGCTAAGTGGCAGAGGTAACCTTCAGAAACGAAAAAACTAAATGCTAGTTCAGTTTAGATAATTTTGTACATGGAGTTTCAGCTGCATGCTTATTCCTCGTCTTAAAAATCAGGTTGTGTGGGCTTCCCTGGTGGCGCAGTGGTTGGGAGTCTGCCTGCCGATGCAGGGGACACGGGGTCGTGCCCCGGGCTGGGAAGATCCCACATGCCTTGGAGTGGGTGGGCCCGTGAGCCATCGCCGCTGAGCCTGCCTGGCCGGAGCCTGTGTTCCGCAACGGGAGAGGCCACGGCAGTGAGAGGACCGGGGACTGCAAAAAAAAAAAAAAAAAAAAATCAGGTTGTGGTTGTATGTGTGTGTGTTTGTTTAATTAACTCCATTAGCATTCTGTTGTACTGTTTTTACATACTCATTTACAAGTCTGTCTTCTCTACTAGTCTTTTTCCTTGAGAACAGGGAAAGTGTCTTTCATTTTAGTGTCCGTTGTTCAAGAACAGTATTCCTTGACACAGTATTTCTCACATGGTAGGTGCACATTAAATGTTTATTATACCAAAGGATAGTGTCTGGTTAATACCCAGATACTATAGGCATCTTTATTTGGGTTGCCAATTTTCCTCAAAGGCATGTTTAGCTCCTCAACCAAATGTACTCAAATATTGAATCATTCTCTCTTTCATTAATCTTACTTAGGCTTTTCCATGTCATTCTCTAGTCTTAACCCAAAATTTAAAGCCCCAAGTTAAAAAGAATTGTACTGCTAAGGAGAAACGGTTTTTGAGGAAGAAAACAATAATCATAAAGATTAAAGATGGTCATCATAGAAGTGGGAAGTAAACTTAGGGTTTCTACTATAGCAGTTTATACTATGTGTGATTCTAAAATATAACTGCTATGTATGAAGGAAAGCTCACAAAAAATGGGTTTGGTGGGATCTGCTTAGTTTGTATCCTGATAAATGCAAAATAGTCCAATAGCAATTTAAAAATGCTAAATTTAAGTGCCAAATGCAAAAAATCTTTATTTGGAGGAAGAGATTAAAATACATCCTGAATACATTCCTAATAAACATATATATGTAATATAAAAATATACACATTATATATAGGTATACACTGATGTTCTGTGTACTTTTTATCTTTCCAATACAGATATGAGTATCATTGGGCAGATGGAACAAACATAAAGAAGCCTATTAAGTGCTCTGCACCAAAGTACATTGATTACCTGATGACTTGGGTTCAGGACCAGTTGGATGATGAGACATTATTTCCATCAAAAATTGGTATAATTGTTTAACTGGGATCCATCATGATTTATCTAATTTTATGCGTTTCTAGGGCTTATTGCCTCTCTATTCCAGGAACCATGTTAGATTACCATACCTATCAAAATATTGCTAATCTTATGTACTTGAAAGTGTCTATCTTTTTTATACCAAGTTTATCATGAACATTAGGTAAACCTCCCTATAATTTTAAACAGTAAGAAGATTGGTATATCTTGGATAGTAACAAATCTGGCCTGTGTTAGGGAAAAAAGAGACTGGTCATTGGGTAAGCAGCCAGTATCATCTGCTGCAGTCATATCCATTTCTTGTTTAGGAAGGGAGTTTATACGACTTCAAAAGAGTTTTACCTTATATTTGTGGCAAAGAGGGCATTTGTATTCATGACCCACGGTGTGAACCTTGGAGGCTGTGAAATCAGGCTAGGTGAGAAGCAAATAAGATTTGGCAGGTTGGCCTGTTATCAGCTGAGTGACTTTTATATATGCTGACCTTTTAAAGGGCTGACCTTTCAAGTGGAAATTATTTACATTTAGACAGTTCATATGACTTTACTGTGTCAAACTCCTTACAACTGTGTTTTCTGAAAAAATTAAGAATTTGCTCTTTTTCAACTTTTTGACTGTATTTTATGCTTTTTTAGTTTTGGGGAGAAGAATGTAGTGGAGGAGACAGCAATGTAAATAGTTGCTGTTGTTATGGCTTGTTTTATACACATTCATTGAATGCTTTAACTACTTTGGAGCCTTTGTAATAAAAGGTCTATTTTTCAAGACTGCATTACTTATATACATAGTAATGGTTTGGGATAAGTGCCCTCATCTTATCTTTTATCTTCATAATATAATTTTTAACTTTTAATTTTAACCCAATTTCAGGCTTCTAGAAAATTTGTAAGAATTGTGCAAACAATCCCTATGTATCCTTCTTCCAGATTTTTTAGTTGCCAACATTTTAACACATTTGCTTTCTCTCTCTCTCTCCCTCCTTCCGCACTCCACATTCTTTTCTTTTTCCTGAACTGTTTGAGAGTAAGTTGCAATTATGATGGACCTTTATCTGTATGTGCTTCAATGTGTATTCCCTTAGAAAAATCACAGTATAACTGTCAGAATCAGGAACTTAACACCAGTACAATACTACTGTCTAATTTCAAATCTTATTCAGATTTTTCAAAATTTCCCAATAATATCCTTTAGAGCAAAAGAAAATCTTTGACATTTGTTTTCATTCAGTGTCATGTCTCTTTAGCCCCCTTTAATGTGGAATATGTGTATTTCTCAGGCTTTTTTGGTCTTTTCATGACACTGACATTTTTGAAGTGTGTAATGTAAGCATACTATTTTATATAGTGTCCCTTCATTTTGGGAGACACTTATGTACCCCAAAATGTCTTATGTTTTCTTGTGATCTATAATATTTTTAAATGGGCAGTAGGCAATGTGATGACATTGAACCCAGTAGTACCAGTATTTGCCTTGTGTTTTGCCAATCTGGATCATTTAGCCACTTTAACAAAGGATGTAGACTTTTGTATTTTTCTCGTTTTGTATTTAATGCTGTAAAAGTGCTCTAATTCATAAAACAAGTCTCTCTAATTGAGCAGAGACTGCAGCTAATTTCAGGGTAAATGTAGACCTGGTGTAGTAATGAAATAATTTCCATAGAAAAAAATTTGAAAATGTATTGCAGGCATTTTAAACAAAACTAAACATAGTAATACATTATTTGCGTTCAGCATAAGAAATCTGAGGATCTGAATATGCATTTTAGCTCCATTACCATCTTAGACATTTATTTGTTTCATTTTGGTAAAGTGGTGGTATATTAGAGGCCTAAAGGGCTGAACTGAAGACAAATTCTTATTCCATAGAAGCATTGAAGTTTATTTTCATTCATGATATGTTGAGAACTTTTGAAAAGTACAATGGGTATTTTAAGTAGTAATTCATAAATACGTCTTATTGTCAGCCTTGTCTTCGTAATTTATATTGCCATTTGCTGATAATGCCTTGTTCTCTTCTTGTTAATGGAGGGGGTTGTTTATCTATTTACTAGGTGTCCCGTTTCCGAAGAATTTCATGTCTGTGGCAAAAACTATACTCAAACGCCTCTTTAGGGTTTATGCTCACATTTATCATCAGCATTTTGACCCTGTGATCCAGCTGCAGGAGGAAGCACATCTCAATACATCTTTCAAGCACTTTATTTTTTTTGTCCAGGTAAGTTGGATTAGGAGATATTTTTTGCTCAGAAAAAGCAGTTATCTACAGAGTTATGAGGTGAATACTACATCCATACTGTCAGGATAAAATTTGCTATATCTCTCTAGTCTTCATCCTATTTTTTTTTTTTTTTTTTTTTTTTTTT